GATCTTCATTTGTGGTCTCCAAAATATTGAAATAAAATAAGAAAAGTGAAAAAATTATAAGAACCGTTATGAGCAAAGTATAATAGTATTGGATATTATTTCTCTTATATTATAAACACATTTTTCAATATTTTTTATATTTTTAATTATTTTATTATCTCACGCACATTACTTCACAAAAACGTTACGATAATTATTTTAAATAATACTCAATCACTCATTGTTTATGTATCTTGAGATGAAAATGTAACTACTCCTCTTACATGAGTTTTTTTTTTTTTTTTTTGAAGGACCTCCTACATGAGTTTAATAGTATTAATTTGATCATTGATGACGTAATAGTAAAAGAAGATGTGTTAGTATAATAATTTTGAGGGTATAAAGAAATTTTGAGGGTACAAAATAAGATAACAATATTTTGTGCTCATATGTACAGGTTGGAGCACATGAGCCACACAACTGGAACGATCAAAGAAGCCTGCACAAGAAGTAATCACTACTGGCTTTCGATTTTGGAATCTTTTCTAGACGTCCGGTTGATAATTTAACATGCTTCTCTTGGTTAATATTTTTCAGCTTTTGGGAACACTTTAGTGCAAGAAAGTAATGTGGCAAGCAAAGGTTACGTAGGAGGGCACAATTAGTCAAGAAACTAATCCCCTTATGATTTATTGGACTCCCTTATATATAAAGTTATAGTGAATTTGATGCAAGAAATGTACATAGCAAGATTCAATTCAAGAATCTTTAATTGCAAATTTTTTTTAATTATTTGTTGTTGGTCATATTTGATAATATATATGTAACTGAAAAGAGTAATTTGGATCCTTCATTAAGCGCAAAATACAGAATGACATTTTTTTTTTTAATGCTATATGTGATTTAATTCCTAATGATAAATAGTAAATTTTAGTGCTTTTCTTTAATGAGCGCGTTGGTATTAAATTAACTAAATAATGTAGTAAATAAAGGACAATGGTGGAATCATATTTTCTTCTCTCTTCTAATATCACTGTTTAATTATTAGTTGAGCCTTAATGTTATAAGATAATTAACCTCAAGGGAGGTTAGTGTAATCTTCAAAATTTGGAGGAAGGCCAATGAAATAGTTAAAAACCTCAAGGGAGGTTTCTGAAATTATAGTGAATTTGATGCAAGAAATGTACATGTCAAGATTCAATTCAAGAATCTTTACAGTACATTGTGCAAAATTACACCATATTCATGAATGAAGCGTTCAAGCACACTTTTCTGCAAATATTTCCCAATAACTAACAAGAAATGAATGCATGCATAATCTTCCACTTCATACCTCTGGGTTGGTACAGAAGAAGAATAGTAGGAAACATGAAAGGGTTTTCATAAAATAAAAAATGCGATTTGCATGGTTTTGTTGAGTAGGCTGCGTCATAGGTTCAGTTGTATCTACTTACCATTCAATAATAATAATGTTTATTAATCCTTCTTGTGGGATTTAAGAAAGGGACAAACAAGATAAAGAAATTAAATTAGCAGAGGATTAATTACTCCTATATTATTATTCTATTGTTCATTGAATAATGTACACGTGCTTCCAATAATAGGTGGAAAGAAATAAAATATCAAATTGATTGATCACAGAAACCAATCTGAGCAGTCGGCAGCAGCTGTTTTCTTGCAGCTTTGGTGATTCCACCGCCAACTTTAGCTTCTTTTCTGTTCTTTTTGTCTAAAATGGGGAAACATGGGAAATTTTTCTTTTTAAATTTTTTTTTTTTTTTTTGTTTTGATTGAGAAAGCAAATCACCATTGAGTTTCTGCATAGGGTTGCTACCAAAAGAAATTCAAGTCATCAATAAAGAGAAAAATTGATGAGGATCGAGCTGTTATCAGTGACGTGCATATCTTCTCCTTCTCCTTTAGACAAATAGATATCCAAATTCTGTCCCTTTTTTTTTTTCCAAGCATATTGAAATTTGTCCCTCCAATTTCTTTAGCAAAATTTAGTTTACTCTTTCAAGTCACATCTAATCCCAATTTCTGCAAGCAATTTTTGATACCAAAACTTGCAAACTTGACAGCTGATACGTAAATGCAATTGAAAAGTCTCTGTGTGGAAAAAAAAAAAAACTATAACACAGTTCTGAGATGTAATGTATATGAGATAAATAAGTACTTGAAAAATAGATAAAAAAAATATTCTGTAAAAACTCAAGAATCTTTTTCATAAAAAGTAACAATCCAAACCGAACCTTATCTTGGGTAATTTTGGGTGTACTAATTTACTGTTAATTTGTTGTCATTTTCTACGTCAGATTGAGAGGCTTTACCATCATCTTTTAAGGTTTGCCTCCAAAAGCACATTTATTGTTTTCTGCATGTATAACTTTGTCCGTGGAAACTTTTCTTTTGCTTCCTATAATGGGTACAAAACTGTAATGATGCACATCCAAATGAGTATGGCCTGATCTAATTATGCAAATATACATTTGAATTTAGAATTAGATCATGTATAATCTGGACTAATATTTTTAAAAATTGCTCTTTAACCTTCGAGAAATTACTTGATTCAAGAAGTTGTCCTGAGTCGCATCTAAATCAAAACACTTGGTAGGTTAAGGATGTTCAACAACCTTTTATGAAGGGTTCTTCTAATGCATTCTTCTGAATTTGTTGCTGAAATATTCAACCTCTGCAAGATAGAAGTAAAGCCTTTGACCTAAAAAAAGAAAAATAAAGAAATTAGGTCTCCCATCCTCGTATCATAGTAATTGGAAGGAAGGAAGAGAACATGAGTCGAAAAGAGAGGATGGCAGTCAAAAAGCACTTTCAATAGAATTCTTGAAATGAAAGCAATTTTCGTGACAAATGATAGGCAGGTGGATCAATAATGAATGATGATACAAGAGTTGAGTTCAAGAAATCTACCAATCCATCCAAGATTTCACGTCCAACAAACCTGATTTGCTGGCTGAAGGAATAATCAGAGAACAGTACTAGCGTCACTTGCCAAAAATGCAAGAAAGGATTCGACTATTTCTGGATATTTGATGAATTATTTCCCTTTCCACCGCACTGTCATTAGTGAAATCCACAATGCCTTAGATAATTTATGTGTATTAACAAGTGTCACAATGAAAAAACTGGTCATCGATTGCCGTAGACAAAAATCCCAATGATGTGATTGCCGTTTAAAGGGAAAAAATGAACAATGCCCTGTTTGTTTTAACGGGTTATCAACTTATAGCATTAGATCATCTAGTCATCCGGCATAAAAGGTGGAGACAAATGTAGATGTCAAAGGGTCTCTGGTCATAGAACAAGAATATGTTTTTGTTTGGCTGCCTTTGCTCTTCTTCCCTGCCTAGATTTTGTTCATATCCTCCAAAAATAACTACTAGAACAGTGGAATTCAGCTCTTGTTGAAAAAGATAATAAATATTAATTGACTTGTTATTCATGACTTTTCTCCCAAGTGGACTAAGTCTAAAGACTTTTTCTTCTTTTGGGGGTGGTTTTAAAACAAACGACAGTTGTTAACCAACTTTAACATGCTCTATTTCCTACTTGTGTGGAGAAATTGTCCAATCACCACCTTCTTAATTAAGTAGAGAAGTGAAAATTTCTTCTACTAGGTTTTTTGGATTGTAAGGCTCCTCAGACCCCCGACTTCTTCAATAGGTTCAACAGATGTCCAGTGACGGAGCCAGGATTTTTTTTCTTGGAAGGCCAAAATTTTCTTAATATGCTATGTTCAAAATAATTTTCATCCATTTAAATATATGACATCTAAAAAAAATCAAATATTAACTTTAATTATATATATATATAAACTCTCATAATAAAAACTAAAATTATAAAAAATTCGGGGAGGTCATGGCCCTATCAGTCCCCCTTAGCTCCGTCATTGCAGATGCCTACAATATTAATACCTTTTTGCATGTGTCAATTTCATGTCACCTTATCTAACAATCTAAGAATTAAGGATCACGATTGTTGTTTGTTCATGCAAGTTATTAGCTTTGATTTCAAGCAAATTTTAGTTCCAGATTCAGCGGCAGACAAACTGCAATAGAAAGAGATTGCACGTCACCTCTTCTGATGATCATGGATTTGAAGAGCCATCCGATTTTCCTACTAAAACAGCAATGTTACAAGAATCACTGTCAGATGCATGAATCAGTGTCCCGTTTTTAGGTTATATAGCAGCATTTCCATGATAGTAACATATGGTAGATTAATTGGAAACTCTGTAACATAAATAAGTCAAAAGTAGAATGAATACTTCTTCTTCGTCTTCTTCTTCTTCTCTCTCTCTCTCTCAATTTTAAGGCTGTGCTTCTTTCTATCAAAACTGAAGTAATTTTTGTATAAGAATTGTCTACTTTTAAGAGAATGAAATTCTGCAATCAGCTGAATAAAATAAGTACGGGGTAGGCAATGAAATTCATGATCAGTATGTAAGGCGCTTCACCTGTGATCTATACATCCTGCTTCGAGTTATCAATGGGGTTTGGAATTCCACGATTGATTCTCTAACACAAAACCAAAAACAAAGAAAGGAAAAAAGGTAGTATATCCTAAAAAAGATGCTACTAAGGGAGTTGTAGATATGATTTTTCCACTAGAATGAGGTATACTAATACTGCAAATGGAGTTGAATTACATGAAGGTGAAACTCAGCACAATGTATATATATATATATATATATATATATATACAGACATATCTGGCTCTTTGCAACATAGTTGCAGTTTTACTAGAAGTGGTTACTGAAGACCTAAATGATGCTTTATGGACTATGGACTTTCAAAATGTGAATTTTTTAGTCAGCCAGATATGGAGCGTAGAACTGCATTTCATCAATTTTACAGAGGAGAGTAAGCTTTATCACATAATGAAGTCATCAAGCAAAGGGGTGTCAAATGGAAGCTTTATGATCCCAGAAGCCACGAAGAATGCAAAAAGCCACAAAGGTAGCATCCATTGAAATGTAAACATCAGAATTGGCTTCCCTGCAAGGTAACAGTAGAGTTAAACTGTCTTTCAACTGCACAAGACTAAATTTTGAAAGTAGCTAAGGTTCCAACAACTGCATGAAGATCTTAAGCCGGCAATATTCTTCAGGATAGCCAGACATAAAACAGTGCAATTTTTTTTTGTTCATGCAGTCTGAAATCTTTTCTTATGGTTTCTTTGTATGAGAAAAATGCAAATCCCATAACACAGTAAAAGATGTAATTTTCCATCATTCCTTCTTTTTTTTTTTTAAATGCTTTAAACTACCGTTGAGACTTAAGAGGTTCTTGATATAATAAGCAGCTCTTGACTAATGCCACTTCCGTATAGACGTACTTCTGCTTCTTTGCTTCTTTTCTTCTCTTACCGTCTTTCTCAATGGATTAATCATTCTCCATTCTCTTGCAAACGCTAATTCCTTACAGAAATGGTGGACAAGAAAGGGAAAAGCAGCATGAATCTGATATATTTAATTTGTGATTCATGAAAAGGCCATTGAAAGTAAACATAATGGAGAACCTAATGACCTGAGTGACAAGGAATATACTACCCTTTGCAACTTGGTGCAGCAAAGATCTAGGATAAGTTTCTAAAAGGCTATAAACTATTTTTCATGTAATCTGAAATCTACCAGCCTTTGTTGTGAAGTTTTAAATCCTAGAATTGTGATTGACAGGCTTGACAGTTAGATAAAAAGCAAGTAATTAAAAATTTAAAAGCACCGGCCAAGCAGCATAAACGCATATAGAAGAAAAAATATAAGTCCATATTTGCAATTGGCTAAAATTTTACCAGCAATGTTGGGATGAGAACTGTTTTGCAGTTTAAATATAAGAAGGCATGTTTGGTTTTAGACAACGAAATATGGGGGAAAGCTTTATAATTTAAAGGATTTCAGGTTGATAATAACAAAAGTTTCATTGACAAATAGATTGGATTTCTTGAATCAAAGATAAGAATCATCTCAAAATACCAAAAGTACGCCTCATAATCACTATCATTCAACAGTAGACATAGGACACTTTAACTTTCTGAGGTCACTTCATAAAGAAATGGATTGCCAGGCTATCAAATCTTTGTCCTACTTGAATGCACAAGTGCATTAATTCCTATCAATCTGGGATACTATACAAATCAGGAGAACTTCATGCATAAATTTAGTAGAAATTCATGCTTTGAAATATTATATTGAAGACGACAAGATAATAATATTTTTCAGGACAATATGGTCAGTACCAGCAGAGCGAAATGAGGCTTCCGTTTTATCAGCAATCCACTCCCCTGTCTCACGTAGTTGCTTCTCCACAGGGCTTTCAGTTGACATGGGGGTACCAAACAGGGACATCTTCTCTTTTGGGTCCCTAAACATTTTCAACACAAAAAATCCCAAAAAGCAATCAATCAGGAAACTCCAGACAATACTAGAACCATTTTTCATGATAAAACAAGAAGTACTCAAGTCAAAAATGAAATAAAAAGTAGTTGCCTGACGGGTTCTGTGTCTCTAAAACTGCCTGCACTGACGGCTCTTTCAATCTCCAGAATTGATGGTTGCTTCTGCTTTCTCTTCTGCTTCAGCCTTGGTATTGATGGTGGCTGTGATGTTGTTGGGGAACTACTGCCAGTGTCTATTGTGGGATGTGAACGCTTAGGGGGGCTGCCTTGATGAGATGTGGAAGGTGAAGAAGTTTTGTTTGTGGAGGCAAGAATTTGAAGTTTGTTAATGGAAAGGCAGTTCAAGCTTACCATTCTTCTGCTTTCTTTTTGATATCCTTTGCTTTGAAACTTATTGCAGTGTTGCAAAAGAAGATGCATCCAATACTGCAACTTAAACGGGTGGCACTGAAATATCTTATCTGAACCATCTGATAGACAAAACCAAGCCTTGACCAGTCCCAATTCCAAGTCAAGATGGTAGCCTTTCAGTTGATGGAAATAGCAGACTGAACTTGTTTTTGGCTTTTCATCTCCTGTTTTAGGTTTTCTTGTGCAGCCACTTAAAGTGTTATCTAGTCCCAAATTGGTTTCAGTCTTGTAATTAAGACAAATTGTCTAGTCTCACATGATGAGAGGCATACATTACAATTTTCTTTAAGATGCTAATCCACTTCTCCTTATGCTGCAGCAGTTCCACAAGCACAAAAATGGCATTCTAGGATTTGAAGAGGGAGCAGGGAGGAAGCAATTTTTATTTCATCTAAGCATTAGAACAGGGTGAAAATTGTGTATACTTAACATCCAAAATTGGACCCGGTCTTCTTTTGGGTTGATATGATTTTTCTACCGTCCAAGGATCATCACCACTAAAAAATTAGTTTGTGACTGACATTTGCCGAAAATGGCGAAAATTTACATGGAAATTACATTCAGTTTTTACACTATTCTCAGGTGGGTAGAGTCCTGAGCAAATGAAGAGCTCTTGTCCACTGTGGCTTCTGCGAAAGCACAATTCTCCTCAAAATAGGAACAGCTCCTGCTGATGTAATTGCTGCATGGTTCTCACTATCCATGCTCAAATTGTATAGTATTGATAAACCAGCTTCCATCGCTCGGTTGCTACCCTCTTCAATCAACTTGACCAATGGAAAAATGCCACCCTGTGCAGCGACTGCTCTGGTAGAATCAACCACCCCTTCAGAAATTATTCTGTTAAGTTCAATAACCGCAGCCTCTTGGAGTTCTGGTGAAGATGAGGTTTTTATCTGCTCTATCAACCTTGGGATTGTTTCATAAAGAGTTACCTCCATATTTACTGGATTCTCAAAGTCCAGGTTTGGACCAGAGAAAGAACTCAGTTTAACAAGACAAGAAGCAACCCAATCCTTGTAGCAAATAGGAATCTCAGATATCAGAATTTTACGAAGTAAATGCATGAAATGCTGTGTGTCTATAGTGCTGCGGAAGTGCTCAGAATCAAGCAGTCTTGTAAATAAGCGGGATGCTGCTGATATTGCTTGACCAGCTTCTTCAACTTGCAGGGCCAATAATTCTGGTCTCTGTACATCTGTGTCAGCTTCTATATCTGTCAAATTAGAAATGAGGTAGATTATGAACAGTGGACAAACAAGAAAACTGTTCTAGAATAGTTAAGCAACAGACACATGTACACACATGCAGACACACACACACGTATTTAGCACAATCAGGTAGAAAGAGAGTGTGTATCGCAGGCTTCATTTGGCCAATAGAAATGAGGCTTCAGTAGTATGTCTTGAATGAATAATCTCTGAGAATCTTAATTCCACATTAAGGCCAATAGAAATTGGAAGGAAGCATATAATTTCAAGATAGACTAAATTTGACTGACCATCGTTAGCAGAGTAGTTGAAACCCACAAATAAGCAATACAGGGGAAGGGAAATAATTAGAGAGCCAGCAGGTTAACAGTAAACGGAGAACTACCATTAGTTGACCAAATAAAAGATGTTCTTCACCTCAAATAAAAATAGGAATGTGAGATACCCAAAACCTGTGTGTGGTGGGACGAAAATATTCAAGATTCGCTTGGCTAGTGAGGGAAACACCTTGACGTTTTTAAAACTACAGGTGTCTACCACTTGCTTTTTTGTATAAGGGCTATAGAATGGCATAAATTAACTTTCCAAATACTTAAATCCCAAGTAACTCTAATCACAATAGCTTGACCAAAAAAAAAAAGAAGAATGTCACTGAAAGCCTTAGTAAGACTTTGAAGTTGCAAAAGCCAGGTGTATTTGAATCCAGAATGTGCATACTAGGTTCTCCAAAACAAGAATGACATGTTAGAGTTGGTGGTTAATCATCTCTTGTTGGTCTGGTTGCACTAACTAGTAGCTTCACGTTAATGGATGGCTAGGACCTTTACATTTGATTTGGAGCAAATGGAAATGGAAACTTATCGAAAAGTTTCTCTTTCTTCTCTAGCTCTAGTCATCTGCCTGAAAGAAGTAAAGTGTGATTCACTTCTATCTTCTTGAGCTTATCTGTAATCAATTTTTTTGGTATTTGCTCAGCCACACCTAGATGAATGGACATGAGGTATAAATTTACTAGTCCTCAACGCAGGTTCAGTGATCTAAATCAAAATGAACTCCAAAGCAACAGTTTAGAAAAGGAAGAAGCATTCATAAACGTTTTGCATCTTACAGTTCTGAAGCATCTTCCTTACCACTTAAACGTTGTTGGAAAACACAAACTAAGCCAGATGCTACGTCAACTGAGATGACCATTTCCACACATGCATCATCAACTATGACAAACTCAAGGATGGAAGCAGCTTTCTTTTGCAAATTGGGGGATGATGTCTTCAAAATCTCAATGATGCGAGCTAAGAAGGCAGAATTTACGACGTCTCTGACATACATGGTTTGCACACTGTAGAAAAAAGTAGACTTAGTTTGAGGTCTAGCAGTGACAGTCAGTTGCAATCATCATTATAACAAAGTAACAGAGAAACTTGTGGTGCATAACAAGAATCTGAAAAGAAAAAATGACGGCAGACTACCGTGTTAAAAATTTGAACAAGGAAATGCTTATTAACTGTCAAATTTTGCCCTAAAAATGATGCAAAAATCAAATTCAAGCTTAGAGACCCAAAGAAAAAGTAAAAGCTGCGTGTCAAATACACTGAAAGAACACACCTTACTGCTTCATAAAGGAAACCTGAAATGAAGGCAAAGAAACCGAAACCAGCAGATCATGAGCGATTAATGTTGGAAAAATATATTCTGAATGGAAAGTATGGATTGGCCAAATGAAGTCACTTTTTCTTCTTAATCATGAATTAGCTTGTAGCACTTACCAAAAAATACTGTGATGACTACTAAGTAAATGAGCTACAAGAAGAATGTAGTGTAAGAGTAAAAAGTAAATAATTTTGTCTATCAGTCTGTTCCAGTAATGCATGATATATATACATATATGTACACTGACTTCCCTTCAGAACCACAGAGTGGCATCTTTATCATATTGAGGAGTAAATAAATAAACAACAATAAACTTGGCTGCTTAAAATTCACTATTCTTGTTTTTTCAAACTACAACTGGAAGATAACCTTTTCCTTGGGGAACAACAGAAGCCCTCTATGTGAGGCAGCCATTCAGAGATAGAAAACTTCAATGGTGACTCAGCTGTAGCTATTATTTCTCTGACAAAAAAAACCCTATTAGCCATTTAGATGGCTCTCACCGTGCTTCATGTTGCTCTCTGCAGGAGGGGATTCTATGATTCTAAGACACTGTATGGAACTTGTTTTGAGACCCTATCATAATGGCATATCATCCCAGACATAAGTTGAGAAAGAGGAAAGCATTTGAATTTTTAGTAAGGTACCAGAAGATTGGAGTGATTTTGTTCTTAGGTCAAATACATATCTCTTAACATGTATTGTCTGCTAAGAAGGAGGTGGTACGCATCATTTAAGAAGGCATAATCCACTGATCCCAAGAAAACCTCACAATCCTTCACCTCAGAAGGTAGATCTTACCTTTTAGCAAGGTTAAGTACAAGAAATGATACATCAACACACATAATAAAAAATAAGGTTAGCCTGACCATCCTTTTCTACAAGTAGTGATACATTATCTCTATGAGAAAGCTAACAGTTCCAGTCAAGAGACAAGGCTTTGGATTATCCTAATGTCCCATGCAGGACACTGCTACAGATTCCTAATGAAATCAGTGAATCTGATAAAATTATCTTCATTTACCTTGTGTAATAAATTCCAGCAACCATTTGTTTTCTCATTTATGATCACAGGAGCGTATTTCAGGCAGCATAGTCTCTCGCTCATTCAGTATTTGCAAGCAAACTAGGAGTCTTAACTGGCCCTTATTTTGGTGAAAACCTATTTATACACAATAGCCAAAACCGCAAGACTCGTCCAATATAATCTAGGCGCTAAATAAATTTTCATCTTTTTACTACCTCCTTTTTTTTTCATAATCTAGGCGCTAAATAAATTTTCATCTTCTTTACTACCTCCCTTTTTTTCAGTTTGCTTTCTTGCACATTGAGCTGGTAATAAAACAAGTATTAACAAATTGGTACTAAAATATAAGTGAGCTTTTCTGATGAACAGAAAAGAACCTGGATGTTGACTTTGACTCAGCCATCTCATTCAGATACCCAGGTGACTGAGAATTTCTTGTAGCATTCCATCCCTTCTTTGAAGCATTAACTGGTCCATCATAAAACTGAAAGCGAAAAATACGCTCGGTTCACATTGAAAACAAGTACGAAATCTTTGACTGCTATTGAGCAGTAGGTACAGACCTTTGACTTCATCTCTTTATCAGGGTCCAGAATCCGATTAAGAATGTTTAAAATCTGCATTACAAACAATGTAAAGTCCTTTATTAATTACAGAAATTAAAATTGAAGAGAAACAATATTTGGAAAATTTCCACTACCATCTCTGTTGAGCTTCCAGAGGTCTCAAATTGCATCAGTGAATTAATCAAAGGATAAACAACACCTTCCCTTTCAATTATCTGGCAAACATCATTGCTGCATTTTGAAACATATGAAGTTACTTCTTGACAAATTACCATTAGGCCATGAAAGAATTTGATCTCAGACAACTCAAGATGTAGATTACGAATTCAAAAGTGACCATAAATTAGGAACAGGTATCACACCAGTTACATTTTTTAATATCAAAACTTAAAGACTTCTCAAGTGCATATGCAAAAACAATATTTTCCTTTCTCAGCAACATGAACACGAAGCGTAATACTATGTAATTGAATCATATGAACTCTAAGAGAAACAGACATTAGAAAATCATGTAAATGTAAAAGTAAGTCAGATTAGCTACACAAACATTGTCAGCATAATTCAGCATTGGATATAAAATATATGGAGTATTTCACGAAAGAAAAAAAAAGAGGACAATGTTTTTAAAAGGAGAACAGCCAAGAAATGGAATCAAGAGGGTTTTTCTGCAGAGGACATATAATTTCTACATTTTTTTCACAGTTTGATGCCGATCCCCAAGCTGATCTAGTTGGCAGTAAGATCCAAGGACTATATAAGAAAAAAAGTCCCAAAAAATCACATAAATCAAATTTCTTTGGC